GGCACCTGACAACAATAACAAAGTTGTATGTGGAAGACACACACCACATGCACGCACCTTCAAGTATCTCCCTCATTACATGATGTTGGTAAGTGGTAGTGAATGAGTCAGGCATGTTCTTTTCCAAATTTAAAAAATTAATAATATAATTTTAAAAACTTTTCAAATATCCAAGACCTTCACGTACAACAAACTGGTCTGGGAAAACACACAAGGCTTACTGCCTTGGTGAATGGAGTAGACCATGAGAATCCTCATGCTCAGCAATTATGTAGCCTGGAACTCCTAGGATACAGGATATTAGGGTTTCTTCTCCTATACCACCCCCAAGTAAATGGACCCATGACAGAAGTATTTAAGCATACATTTATCTGCTCCAGAATTATGCCAGAAAAGACAAATTACTTAAGGTCATAAATGTTCATGTATACAACTCCCTAAGATGCATGCTATTTGCACTGGCCACTTTAGAAATTAGAGCTGTTTGAGAAACTACAGTTCAAAAGACACACGTCACCTACTGGCTTGGAGAGTCCTTCGCCAAACAGAACTCTGAAGCACTGCCTATTCTTACACTCAGTAACTCACTCATACTTTGTTCTTTTTGAATCATTATAATTCTTGTCCATGCCCTCTGAATTTGACCCAAATGAGAAACACAGCTTAAACAAAGACCAAAGTGCTAGTACATCATCTGAATAACGTCACTTCCAACTGTGATGCTCTCTATCAAAATGTCAGGTGAAAACGTACCCTTCAAAGTTATATAAATAAAGCTAAATCAGAGACGAGAACAAAAAGAAACGCTTCAGCTCCTTTAAAATAATCAGTGTGTTAAGATCTGCATCTTAGATCTATTAGTACATGCTAGTAATAAGTAGAAGAGTTAACCAAGGGAACGTCCCCCTTGCTAAGGTAGCTGGGCAGGTGAATTTAGCCTAGAAAAGTCTGATCTGGCCTGCCAAGAATGGCGTCTCAGGTGAAGTAGCCAGTTGAAAACAATTCAGCATTGTTTTGGATAACAATGCTTTCTATCTATATCCAACTACAATCTGCAAAGTTAATTTTTGCATCTCTCTATGCTCTGCATGCTAGTGTGTATATCCTGTACATCTCCAACCCCCCACCAAAATGTCAGTAAAATGAAAAACCACTTATCTACAGGAAACTTATGTGGGTTATAATAACAACATGGAGTACATTTAATTAATCACACTTCCTTTGATATAAATGACCATCTATAGTCACAGAGAGAACAGCGAATTAAATGAACACCAATCACGCAGCAATCAGAATAACCCCCTTACCCCTCGCCAAAAATTTTGTACAATAGAAAGTTTTAATGATTGGAATGTGACTATTTTAGAAAAACAGAGCCAGTGTTTTTATTTATAATTTCATCAAAAAGTCTGAAACTTTAAACTCTAATTCTCCTAATATTTAGTCACTCTCCATACACTATGTGTTTTTAGGTTCGAAATATAAAATATTCTCAATCATACTGTGTAATTAAATAAGAAAATAATTTACTTACTTCTGGAAACCCTGACAAGTTCTGAAACATTGAAGACTCCAGATTTTACAAAACTATCCTCAAGGTATCCTGAAAATAAACATCAAGGGGAAAAAGATCAGCATAAGCAGGAAGTAAAATAAATGATTAAACACTAGACTTTGTTGAAATGCGTTTAAACCAAAGGTTAGAACAAAAACCCAAGTATGCACACAACAAGAACAAGTAAATGTGAAACTCTTGAATGCAAACTGGCTCTGTTTAAACAAAAGCAAAAAGTTTAGATGCTAAATAATCTGCTAGGGAATTTTTTCTTAGCTTGCCTAATGTACAGGGTAATCTGTGTGGTTTTATTTGCCATGTCCCACGCGCACAGAAGGAAGGTCGAGGGTACTCACTGAATGCAGTCAGCTCAGTAGCACCTGGTAGACTAAAGTCCAACCATTTAAAAAAAAAAAAAAAGGAAAACCATAACCACAATTAACACCTTGTTGGAAATACTTCAAAGATCTCTTGAAACCACTGTTCTTTCACAAATCCTTCCCTGATTAAAGAAAAGTAAGCTGCTGTTACCAGCACTCCCACCCTCGTTCGAGGGTCACGAATCACACAAAAGCAGGACTTGTACATACAGCAATATTCTTCAGCAAGCTATTTCCAGAAACCTTTAATACACCCCACAATATCCCACTGCTTCCCTCAAGTTTGCTACTATTCTCTTGGACTCTTCATTTCAAGAACTGGACACTTTTTCCGGCAAATGGTAGTGAATCCAGGCCTCTGTGAATGTACATGACCCTTATGTGGTATCTAGACACAAGGTCAACAGTGGCTGTGACCCACAGTTCCAGCACCTGAGTAAGTTCAGACCTGTTCTGTGGTGGGTCTAGCAATGTGCAGGACAAGACTTGAGGACCCACAGAAACACCAGTCAAGTCCCTCAGGTTCTCACCTACCTGAAGGAAATATATTAGGGGCGAGAAGGGAGACTACCTTAGGAAGGAGTGATCAGGTTTACTACCTGCCTCTGAGGGAGAGAACTGGAACAGTATGACAATCCTCAGAATTGAAATGCTTCCAGGAAGAAAACTCTAGATTAAAAGAATGGACAATTTCATTGGATTTTCCATAAAGCTTTGGGGCTGACCAGGGGATTAGTCAGTGCCGGGATGGTTGAGCAACATGGGGTACTCAAGTCAGATCTGGGATTGAATTCCAGCACCACAGTTTACTAGCTGTGGAATCTTGGCCACATCATTAGATCTCTTTGGCCTCAGATTTCTCATCTATAGAGACAATTTTATTATTTCCCTCACAGAGCTGCTATGAATACTGAGATAAAAATACAAAACTTATGGTAAGCACCGATTAGATGTTCCCAATGAATTAAGATAGGTCAGTGGAGCCAACAATCAGCCTACCAAAATGGCGCGCACTGGACTCCAGACCATCCCACGTTATTTGTAAATTGTTATTTAAGAAATTTACCAGAACAAAAGTCACTGCATTGCTTTTTAACTGTACAAAGCATGAAAAGACAGAAAATCATTGAATTAGCATATATGCTTCATTTCTGTGGACCAAGGAACCATGCATGTATGTCCGAACGCTGTTTTATAGCCACCCACCCTCCTAAGAACCACAAGGGTTCTTACGTGACTAGGAATTACAGCATCTCAGTTGGCAATAAAGTTTTGGTTTCCTATTAAGCCATTACTCTGAAAAAAATACATACACATTTTCAGAGGACAATAACAAGTATCCCCAGTTGATGCAACTCTATTTTAAGAAACTTCTAGTTCTTGAGTAATTAATTTTTCACCAGGTTGAATTCATTTCAGTGATCATTGAGAAACTTGTATGTAAACAGCACTGTACAAGGTGCTAAGTGCCATGAATACAAAAGAAAAGGATACTGATCCCTTTGCAATATTAAAGAATGAGATATTTTAAATCTTCTGGCCCGCTGTAGGTTATCATTGTACTCGTGTTTGTTGTTGTTGTTGTTGATTTTGTTGTTGTTTTAAAGTATAGTTTGTTGTACTTTATTTTACATATGGTAAATTTACTACAGTAGCTACATTAAATACAAAAATCTTAGTTATCATGACTACAGCTCATGTCCTTAACCAGTCAGAGAAGTTTCTTTGTCACCACCCAATGGCCCTCAGCAAATGCCTGCCCCCATATCCTTCTCCTGCAGCTCTATCTGAGCTTCATGTCCCACTCGCATCCTTCCATGTTTAGCTCAACCACTGCCCACTCCATAAATCGTTCCCTCACCCTCCTCTCTCACCCCCAGTTGCAGCCAGAAATAATCTCTTTCCTCTGTACTCGCATAGCACCTAGCCTGTACTTATTTTACAGCACTTTGCACACCCAGGTTTTCCAAGCTTTCTGCTTTCAAGTCCTGTTTCCCTTACAGGATTATCAGCTCGTTCAGTTAGGGGAGTGACTGCATTTTGTTCATCTCTGCATCTCCCAGAGCAACTAACTCAGTGTCGTCGATGTAAAGGAAGCCCTAAATAAACACTAGGGAAACAAAATCTTAAAATTCAACTTTTAAAAACGAGGTCACAAATTAATACATCAGTCATTTTATAACAGGATAGATATAGCCGGTTTAAGATACTGAAAGATAACGACTGATCCATGTCACTCCCAGAAACTCACTGCTGAGGAGCTTAGGCTGTGGGGAAAGCTAAAACTTCCCTTTGGGGAAGGAGTAATAATTAGAATCAGATTCTATCCCTGATGCTGTTGGGTACTGATGTATAGTCTTAGGCATTCAGTACAAAATATCTTCCAAGGAATTAGAAGTGTGTAACGTATACAGAGTAAGACCTCCAAAATATTCATAAAATGAATTAATGAACGAGTGAGTGAATAAGTTACCATTTACATATAACTGTCCAATATGTAGATATAAGCTGAAAGTTCATTTCCTTATTAACCTAGTGTTTCTTTTTTACATGTATACTTGGGGCCCATTTGCTCCTAAAGCATCCCATTCAGATGGACTAGTGTGTGGGCTTGTCGAGAGCCTGACTGGAAGAGACCGGGGAGCCACCTCAAAGTTCATTTTACCAGTGGGAAGAGAATGAGGCAGTTGAACATAGGAAATACAAAGACTATCTCACAGCAAAGGAAAGGCAACTCAGAATCCAACAAGGTGTTTCCCCACCATCCACCCCCAATTCCTCAAGTTCTAAGGAAAGGGAATCCAGAAGGCAAACTGAATGAGTTATTTTACTAAAGCTCTGAAAGGCGCTGGAAACGTGTGAGAACTGCTTTGGCACCCACTGGTGAAAATGCAACACCAGAAGTCCCATTCGGCTCCACTTGTGAATGGAGCATAGTGAGACTTTAGTGAAGGGAGGGCTCCCGAGGACAAAGGCCCTGTGGCAGTGGGATGGGTGGGGATCAGGCCATGGAGGAGACTAAGACAGACCTTGGAGCAGACGGCTGCCACCTTCCTGCATCTTTGTAGGCAACAGGCCTTTGCAGTGGATAGGCCTTACCCAGGACAAGGCAGAGTACAGAAAAAATGGCGGACAACACAGTACTTGGATACTAGTAGTGCTTGCTCACAAGCATGCAAGAGATGCTACTTCGGGGTGCCCACAAGATAACTACAGAGAATCTTGCAGGGGGTCAGGAGTCCCGTGCTAGTATATAGGGTGAGACTCAGCAAAATACAAGTTTTTGCCATTAACACAACCCAGCTGTAACTCCCAGGCCACAAGGGACCTTCAGAAACTAGGTTTTCACATGTTACAGAGACCATTGTGAATCTAGATGGCCTATAAAAAGACCAAGGATCTTAAAGCAATTTGGAGACATTCACATACTGCATTCCCTTCATCTAGCAAAGGAAATACGAGCATCTCTGAGGCAGAGCAGCTGCTTAATGATTACACAGCAATATTACACAACAGCTTAAACTAGGGAAAAAAGAACAACTCTGCATTTATGTGATGCTGTATTTACACTACGTGTATGCTTTCTTAAAAAATAAAATTGAGTAGGAAATAAAGACCTCTGCAAACTGAAAATTCTCAAAGGCAGTTTCCAATTACATTATTTTACTTCTTTTTTTATTTTTCTCTAACAAAAGCAACAGTAAATCACTACTCAGAAGTTAATATAGTGTTTAACCTCCTTTACAAACAATAACAGAGGACACAATGGCATATCTAACTGTTAATATCTCAAATTATAATCAGCACCATTTGAATGTTAAACAACATTTACATAGAAAATCCAAAAAAGACTGTTAACGCTCATTTTTAAAGTCTACTGTGTTCTATTCTTGAAATTAAAAAAAAAAAAAAAAAGCCACAGAAAGCAGTTATTAAATTCATGAGAGCTGTCTTCAAGTATTTGAAGAACTGTTATACAGACGGTGAATTCAGCTTCTTCTGCATGGTTTCAGGAGCTGATTTTTGGCTCAATAAACAGATTTGTTATCCAATGGGAAATGTCCTAAAAAAGCAAGTGAAAGCTTGCAAAGGTAATAATAACCAACGTGTGCCAAGCACTGCACTTAGACCTTCACAAGCATTAGTTCACTTAATGCTCACTGTTACGCTATGATCTCTGTAGTATTATTATTGCCATTTTACAGATTCAGAAACTTGTGTCTACAGAGGCAGGGAGTAGCCCATTCCAACCCTCAGATTCCACTATTTTATAGGGCTATAGTCCTACGTTAGTTTTCATGCATTGCTCATTTGGACAAAAGCACAGGTGGATAGTAGGTGCCTCGCAGGTGTTTATCAGCACTTCAATTCCAGTTACTCATTTCCTGCAACAGTGTGTATAAGATGGCCCAAACCCTTTGTTTGGGGCAGTGGTAGTTCAGTGGGAGAATTCTCCCCTGTCACGTGGGAGACCTGGGTTCCATTCCCAGGCAATGAACCTCAAGCACAGCCATCACCCATCAGTCAGTGGAGGCTTGTGTGTTGCTATAAACCTGAAAAGGTGTCAGCAGAGCTTCCAGGCTAAGACAGACTAGGAAGAAAGAGCTGGTGATCTACTTCCAAAAAATCAGCCAATGAAAACCCTATGGATCACAAGGTTTGCCATGA